ATAAGCAGAGCTATACAGCACAAGGTATGTAAAAACTCAATTCTGATTATCAAAGACAGGTATTGGACAAATTTTCTTATTACAAAAAAAAAAAAAAAGAAAGAAAGTTCAACAAGTTGAAATATTACATACTTTCAGGGACAAGATGCCCTAAAATACACTACAGAATAATCAAGATGGAATTAACTAATCTGCTATATATAGAACATGGAGAAATTGAAGTGGAGTGAAAAATAGGACCGGCCATAAGATTTTATGAATCCAAATTACAAAGGTAAAACTGGAAGGGATGACCTTCTCCAAAGACACATCTAGCAAAATTTTCAAACAACTGAAATAGCTATCAGCACAACTGCAGTTTTACTGAGGCAGACACAAAAAACCCCTAATATGGCAAAATGAGTTACACTCAATTAAAAATTCCGACTGACAGGCTATCAAAATGGAGAGTAAGAAAACCTAAGTTCCATGCCTTCTTCTCAAATTCAACACAATCTTTGTGAGAAGGTGACACACAATATGTTTTATTAAATTTAAATTCTTTTTTTTTTTAATTTTAAGAAATCTCTCTAATGAAGTGTTTTATATGTAACACATAAGAAACAAGTTCACCTACTTCTTGTATCTGCTTTGAGATACCGACGTCATTAATTACTATGTCAAAAATAAATTTTTTTTCTAGTAATTCTAAGCATTCTCCTGACAAAACTTTTAAATGTATCTCTTGCACAGCACTCTATAGCACTGATGGGAAAGCAGATGTTAACCTTGAATTTAGCATGACTTTCAACACTGTCTCCTGACAAAGGCTGCTGATGACCTGACTCAGACAAACTGATAAAGTATGGACTGTGTAAACGGACAGTGAAGTGGACTGAAAACTGGCTGAGCTGCAGGGATCAGAGGTTTGTAACCACTTGCATGAATCTAACTGGAAACCTGTCACTACTGGTACACTCCAGAGGTCGATACTGGGGCCCACACTGTTAGACATCTCCTTTAATGACCTGGATGATGGAACTGAGTGCATCCTCCGCAAGCTTGTAAATGGTAAAAAGCTGGGAGGAGTGGCTGATACACCAGAGGGATGCTCTGCCATTCAGAGGGACCTTGATAGGCTGCAGAAATAGGCCAAGAAGAACCTCATAAAGTTCAACAAAGGGAAATGCAAAGTCCTGAATTCAGGGAGTAATAATCTCATGCACCAGTGCAGACTGAAATACACAGAATACTATTTAAATATAAGAAAAATCCCTTTACTGTGAGAATGGTCAAACATTGTAATAGTCCAGAAATGTTGTGGAGTCTCCATCCTTAGATCAAAACCCAACTGGACACTGTGCTCAGCATCCTGCTCTAGATCAACCTGCTTTGAGCAGAAAGGTTGGGCCACATGCTCTCCAGAGGTGTGCCTTCTCACCTCTATGATACCATGATCTTGTCTTTACTCATCTTACATAAAGAACATTCTGTGCTTGAGTAAGGTGCTGAAGCTCTCTATTTGATGATTAAACAGTGAATTATTTCATTTAGAACAAAGTAAGTTAGGATATCTAAGTATCACATGTAAAAGTCAAGATCAGGGATGAAAAGAACGGAACTGAACAAACTCTTTAAGGACACCAGGAAGGATCTGATATTAGTTTACAGTTAGAAGTTACAGCAGCTGAGTATGCAGAAAAATAATCCCTAGCGGATTGTTTCACGCGATATGGAGTCACTTCATAAAGATAACAGTTTACCTTTTTAAAAACTTAATTAAATAACCAGAAATGGGTGCTCAGCATCTCCAAAACATTACAGAACAGAGGGAAAACTGAAATAAGAGGAGGCATCTTCGCTAACACATTATGAAATATTCAAGGACATATGAACCCAAGTGGTTTCCAAGTAATTCAAATTTGCTTTCATAAAATATTGCTGCTGAGGGAAGGGGCTATATTAGAATGATAAATGGCACTGAACTATATTTTCAGTGTTTCATGAATTTTTCCTTCACAAAAAATATTTATGTATTTATGTTTCTTACTGTTTGACTGCAGTGCTGTGAGAGCCTGTGGACACAGGCTCTTTAGGAAGGACTGATAAGGAAGACAAGAATGGAGAGTGCTGTATAGAATGAAGGAGAGGCTCAAATGTGCAGAGCTACAGAGCAGTAAACAGGTTTGTTCAGAGCATATGGGTCAGAACTGGAAGAGAGGCCAAAATATGGACATTGTGGGATGATCACCTGCTACAAACTGCCTGATAAAGAAGAGGCAGTGGATAAAGCCCTCTTTAAACAGAGCAAGAAGTCTCACAGTCACAGGCTCTGACTCTCATGGAGGTATTTAACCACCTCAATATCTGCTTGAGAGACAAAAACACAGGCTACAAGCTATTCAAACTTCCATAATGCATGTGGGACAACTTTTTGATGCAGATGCTGGACAGGCTGACTAAGGAGGCTGTACCCCTGAACATGCTAATAATGAATAAAGCACAACTGGTTGAAGACAAAGGCAGTCCTGCCTCAGTGACCATGAGATAACTGATCTTGAGGGAAGTGAGGAAGATAAACAGCAGAACAAGGACTGGGGCTTCATGGAAACCTGTATACATGTGAAAGTATGCACCTGAAGAAAAGCCAAAACATACTATACATTTGAGAGCATACGGAAGCCATCTGCTAAAATGAATAGGCATGTTTAAAAGGCACAGTAGTGAATATTACTTTTATTATGAAAGTATTACAAAATGACAACTATTTTTGCAAATATATCTGGATACAAAAAGATTTCAAAGTCAGGAAACATCTGCAGTACTACTGCTATTGTCCATTATAGACAAAGGTGAATACCCCATTTTTCCACTGTTTCCTACCTAGCGCAAGACCTGGATAATTAAATTGTCTTGTAAAAAGAAGGAAGTCCTGCATGTATCCAGGCTACTACACTGTCCATATCACAAGACATCAGCTACAACCCTATCAAGTTAATACAGCATGCACATACATGTGTTACATGGTTAAAATACTGCTAGCAGAGCTTTACACATACTGCCCGTAGGGACTTCACTGTAATGGGAATTCTGCATTTTGCTTTAAGAAGCACTAAATACACAGATAAAGGTGACAGGAAAGTGTGAAAATGAGAAAACTGAGTAACTCCCAACATAACCCTCAGGAATACGTAACCATCTGCTGGACAAAAATGAAGGATCTCTGTACTACAGGCAGTTGTTAACAGTCTTAACATAAGTACAGAAAAGCATGTATAATCATGTATATGAAATCAACACAGAAAGAAAAAGGTTTTGAACTTCCAGCACAATCCATAAATGAACAGATCCATTTAAGTATAGATTTTCTATTATTCTAAAGTAAAATTAAACTGGCAGCTAGGAGCTATGAACACAAGTACCTATCTTCACACTTTATAACCAATGGGGAAAGATGAAATAGAGGAGTACATCTTCCTCATATGTTTCACTGAAAACAACTACATCACAGCAGAACAAACTGGAGGCCCAAAATGTCAGAGAAGTAATTTAGGGTTTTAAAATATTTTCTTACACAAAAATCTATTTCAATTGTGGTCCACTAGCATTTTAGGGTCTTCTTCCCGTAAAAATCTTTATTTTCTCATTGCTTCCATTGACTGTTGAAAGACCGTTAAAATGTACCTCTTTTTTACTATACTTCCCTTGCACAAATAATATCCTGTACCTGTAGATTGTCTGGAAGTTTTAGTCAGTTTTGGAAAAATCCACCCTGGGGGTGCAAATGAATAGCTGTAACATATATCTGTGTTTGTTCATGCTATTTAAGAAGTCTCCATCAACACATTTATCTCTGCTTCTGCATAAAGTAAAATTCAAGACAACTGGTTTGAGCAATATTAGGCATAGCCATTTAAAACATATGTTAATGTTGTTTAAAGGGTTAGTCCACTTATTTTAAATATTTATGATATGTAAGACAGCATATGTATTCTACTGTTTCTGTAAGATTTACACACTCTGGAAACAATAAGCATTGGCATGAGATTAATATAATGGCTCTAAACCCTTTTGTTAAGGTAAAGCATGGAAATACAGAAGTTACTTGGTGTACAAGTATTTGCATTGCAAATTAGTGTCTAAGAGCAATTCAGAGACTAGTGGTGAATCTTTTAGTTCATACTAAGGATTCTCTTCCCCTGCCACTCTGAAAAAGTAAACATGACTTGCGAAGAAAATTGTCTGGTTTTAGGAGATAATTCTGTATAATTGTAGAGACCGTTTATATCTTTACTATCTACATTTTAACTCTCTATTACCTGTTTTTAGTTCATTATATATTCCACCCTCCCCCTGGTCTTCTTTTTACTATTCTGAAGAATACAAAACCACCACTTCGAAACTAAGGTTCCGATTTTGTCTTATTTTGCAGGTGTGCAAGAAAGAAAAAGGCATGAAATTATCAATTTTATTACTAAATATCATGATTAGGAATGCAACAGCTATTATTAGAAAAGTATCACAAAAATGCATTATTTCATTGCTTACCTTTTTCTCAAAATCTCTGAATACAAAATGGCTTTAGAAACAAACCCCTAAAAATAGATCAAACACAACTGCAAATAGACTTCCGAGCCATATTGTTCTTAAGTAAACTGTTTTTCTTGTTACTGTTTGCTTATATGAGTTCATATGCTTTTAAAAATATGATTTTATTGTTTTTCAGTGTCTTTAAGTCACTTTATTAAGTAATAAAATATTAAATTAAGAAAAGCTGGCAATCTCATACTGTTCTAGAAACTTACAGCACTAATGAGTGTACAGCTTAAAAAAGCATTACAAAGGAACATATATCAGTATTGGACTGTATCACACTGCACTTTATAAATTATATCACATATAACAACCAGGACGCTCCCTGAAAGATCTGCACAGCAGAATTAATAAAGGCAGAAAAAAATCTTCATGAAAGTTATTACCCATTCCCTACAGAGAGTGAAGAAATAAAGAAAGAAACTTACCACTTTTAGTAGTAAAAGAATACAGAGGATTCAGTGGAGTGCTGAGAGTGCCTGGCAGTCTTAGCTTGGAGTGTGGTGACAGCGATGATGGTGCAGGAAGCAAGAGATTTGAGCTCTCCTGTAATAGGAAAGACAAATCAGAAAGTGTAATTTCCTGGGTTACTTACTGATGCAACAGCTAAAAGAGAAATATCTGCTTACCATAAATAACTATTAAAATCCAGGAAAAAAAATTAAGACTCAAGTTGATGATAAACAACAACTTCAGTGACTTTTTTTTTAAGAGTATTTGGAGACACAGACTTTGAAAAATTATTGATGCAGCTATAAATTGAATTGCATGTTTACATACGGATACAAACTCTCAAGCAGTGCAAACAATGGAACAGAACCATTTGAACTGGTATCTTGTTGCATCTTTGTGTATAAAAATGACATTTATATATGGTTATAAATGTATATATGTAAAACAACTTCTAATTTTTGAATAGTCAAACTACACTACATCTATGAAGAGATTACTCAACATTAGAATGAGGAAAAAAAATAATCTTAAATTAGTCCCAACAGAAAGCATACTTAGACCAGAATACCAGGTACTTCCTTTCTGTAAGCTATCCAAAAAAATATCTGCAGTTCTAACTTCCATAGCAACAAAGATAATGTAGTTAGAATGTGGTTTGCTATTGAGTTTCTTGATATACATGCAGCAATCTCAAAGCAAAAACCTTTCCCAAACTTTACTCTTTGACATATTATCCAATACAGCCTATGTAAAAAATCTATTATGACAACTTTAGTTTTTTTAAATGATCCAGATGAGAACTTTACTGCTTGGTAAACATATTTTCACTGGCTGCCCTGATAATACAGCCAAGGGGGAGAAAAAATACACCTTAAATAAAATATCTGTAACTTTCCTCAAACAAAATAGATTCATATGCTACAATTTGAGTTATTTACATAAAACAACATAATCCTTGACACTTTCAAAAGTCAAGCCTATTTCACAACGTTGAATAAATGCATATAGTTACTTAATCCAACTAAAAGCCCACTGTCAGTGAAGCACTTCCTTTGGCCTCAGTAAACTCCAGATCAGACCCTTAAACTTTAGTTGTGGGCCAGAACTGAACAATGACATTTTGCAAATTTTCAATCTACTGGCTTGTAAATTATGTTTAAAGGAGACAGTTAAAACAAAATGAATCAGTGATTTAATTCCAGAAGTTATATCATTTATAAAGCTACTATTTCTGTCATTTAATAAATATTAAACAATTCAACAGGTTTCAGTAATGCAGAATATTTGGGCATTTGCAGATGTACTGGTATTCAGGTAATACAGCACTAAAAACGTGTTGAATAACTCAATTGGGCCATAGAGGGTATCTGCTATCATCTCTGTATTACCATGCTAGACCTTCATCTTAATGGATCTGGTTTTTGTGTAGCAATATGGATTTAACTGAAAAGTAGTTTATAATAGACACTGTCTTTTACTAGTCAAGTACTCTCTCAGCAACTGTGTGCAATTATAATGACTATACTCCAAAACTAATGAGAAATAAAAGCAGGACAGAAAATCAGATCAACTAGTGAATATGATAAAAGGAGCATTAAACCAGCTAGATTTTACCTCAGTGTACAAATTAACAGAATATTAGTGAAGAGTAGTTGCAAAATGTAAGCAGAATAAAGAGGCCTGTTCTTCTGAACAACAAAATCAATCTGCTTTTCTTAAATTTACATATGCAAGTGACTAAGTTTCATAAATTTTTCTCTGCTACACACAAATATGGTGTAAAGCCATTATCTTATGTGTTTACTCAAACACAGAAAAATAATCTGTTCCACAAACATGTTGAGCTCAGCTTTCTAGTGTTTCATCTTCGTATATCCACTGTTAGCCCTAGGGAGAGCCTTTCTGCAGCAAGACAAATGAGATGATCTCCCCTGCATGAATTTCTTGCTGAGTGAACACTACACCATCAGTGTTACAAATGTATGTTTTCCAGTCAAGTATTCTCATGGAATATTCTTTCAAACTCGCTGTAAAAAAGTTGGTTTCAGATACTGCCAGGGAATGAAGACAGGTTGAATATATCAGCTTTTGGAAATCAAACTAAACACAGCAGATAACTATTCAAAACTAGCACTTAAACAGACACTTCCCTGGTTTGTCCTGGAGGGAAAAAGTATCAGGAGAAACTTGTCTTGATTGTGAAGCTTGAATGAATTATATAAGAGATATTGAGTTCTATGTAAATTATTCCTGTACAGCATTTAACTCACTTCTCTTTATTTTCCTGCTGAATTACCCAAATACTCTCATTACACATACTCATTATACATGGTTTGAAATCAAATGCAATAGACACGTACATTAGGAGACTGAATGTATGTGCCTGAAGATTTAAGGAAACTGGCCTCTTCAAAATGTAAGTTCTATCTTGTAACTCTTCCTTCCTCTCCAAGTCCTTAAAAACAAAATAAAAACTATTTTTATAAGAGAGATATTAAAAAGAAAATTTTAAATCTAAGCAGTCTTACAGTGAAGCTCAGCACAGATGAGCTATAAAAGACTGTCCATCCAAAGTAAACACAGAATCAGTTTTAATGACCTTGCTGCCACTGGCTCTTAAGTATTATTTAAATCTCTAGAAGTCCCAAAGAGGAAAAAAGCCCACAACATTATAACAGAAGGAGGAACCACTCAACTATTAAATGAGGACTAATGATTCAGCAGAACTTTTTTCAGGTGAACCACACTGTCCTGTGAAGGATAATTAATTCTCCTACCGTACTGAGACTAACTACGGAACAGAGTGAAGCAATCTTTTTTTTTTTTTTTTTTTAAATGCATGCTGTGGGAAGGCATTGCTAAATACCTTCACAACAACGAGTAAAGTTGGCTAAGATAGCCAACCATCAATCTACTTATTTTTCACAACAGGCTCTGCTTGCTTCATGTACAAACCACAGCTTTATCAAAGACACAGTTTACTACTATCCTGAATTAAGCAAAACTAAGGAGTTATAACATTCTTGTAGTCTTTGTAGTGAAAAAGGATACCTACATAATTTTTGCCAAGTTTAAACAAAGCTGATTTGCATTTTCTTTTTTGTGTTAGGGCAGCTCTATGCAAATTATGCAAATATACATTTTCAGTGGAACTAGTTTTCCTATTAGAAGTGAACTGCATGAGACAAAAAACAGAATACTGCAAGACTTGACAAGCTGACAATAACAATTTTTCTTTTTTCCTGAGAATGCAATTTTCTGACCTTTGCAACCAATATAATTGACATTTCCATATACACTTGCAAGTCAAATCAAGCTGGCCAGCTCTATACTACCTCTTAATCTTTTAGACTTCCCTTTTGAAACTTTAGGCCTCTGTGACACTGCTTTTAAAGACAGTTTAAGACATTTAAAGACAGTTTTAAAGGCATGATTAAACCATGATTCTGCAGAATTTAAAAGTTGACAATTGAATGTGAAATAAAAATAAAACATAAATTCTGCTATTTTTCTCAATGCTAGAAGAAAAAACATAACCAGCAATGCTTAAAGTAAGAGTGCAGTACTACAGCTTTTAAATTTGCAATGTAAGTTGAATTAAGTTTACATCTATGTAAAAATGCAATCATTTCTAGGAGAGAAAGTAGCATTAGGAGGACTCCAACAAGGACTGGGATTCTACTGTCGTAGGTGTCCTGCAGTCACTTAGAGATTAATCTGGTTTGCTCTTAAGTAACTTCTAGACTAAATGGGAAAGACAGCTAAAATATCATTTCAGTACACATAGGCAAAACTGAAACATATTTACTTTGCTTGTCTGAAGCAAGTGTGTTCCCCCGATGCTCTCTACAGTCCTCTTACTCTGATTATCCACATCAGGAACTCATCTAGATGGCAATATAGTTCCCTTGTAACTTGGGTACTCCACTATCTTTTCCCATAGAAGCCCAGAAGTGACCAGGACATACATATAAAAATTGAAGCTAGGTGTTGATGCAACAGTTTAGATAGAGCCATTGTCTACAGATGATATGTCTCATCACACAATAATTATACATATTCAATTCCTCAGTTCTGCCAGAGAGTTCTGGTATTTCAATTACAGGCCTACCACAAAAGCTTGCTTTATTTCTCTATTTCCCTTTTAAAAAATGTTAAGAAGAAATTAAGAAATTACTAAGTAAGAACAGTAAGAAATTCTTCTTTATAGTAAGAAATTACTAGAAACATTTGGAATAGTAAGCTTCCTTCAGCCACAAGGAAAACCAAATTCTTTTTACAAGACACAAACCAGTTAAATACAGGCTCAATTATGAACAGCCTGTGTAGACTCACTCAGCCATTAAGTACAGAGAGTATGAGCTGTCTTGGATTGTATAAAATTGGCATTTCATCTTAAGAACATACTGGATATACACATTTTAGGAGAACTGGCCAATGTCATCACCAAGTAGATTTGTCCTGCTTAGTAAGAGCCAAGTAGATGACTATATAAACTGTGACCTCTTCTGTGGCTGGTTATGATTCTTGTTATCAAAGAACATATGACTGGGAAAAAAACAAATAAATCCATGTCTTAAAAATGTCTTTAATTGTGCAAATGAAAAATGGATGTAACCTGTGTCACATACAAAACACACCCAAAGACACTTGTCTTATAATTTTATTTCTCTTCCTACGAAGGAAGACAGACACCAGAAGTTTTTCTGCCTCACATCTTGTCAAATACATACCTATTCCTCTGTACCAGCTGGTAAAAAATATTAGGACAAGACTAAATGCAGTATACAGCTTCAGGTAATCATGTAAGCACTCAGACATTTGTAACCACCCACCCCGTCATCCCTCCAAGTATCTGGTTAGACCCCAGGCTTTTCCTATAATATATAAAATTGGTTTTAGTAGATTCTTTTAAAGGCTTTTTGGATTCTTTGGTTTTGTTCAAAGAGATGTTAAAAAAATATGTATTTCTGTGAAAATTTCATTATTACTCTAAAAAAAAGTATAAACAGGCTTGCTCTTCACTAAATTGTTTCTAAAATTATGCACCTAAACAAAAAGTATAATCTAATTTCTTATGTGGACAAACCCTC